CTGAAAACCGATAAAAACCCTGAAAACTATACATTTCACACCTGAGCCTCAACTCTCGTGGCCCGGTACCAAACGACTCACGGACCGGTACCGGTCTGAGGCCTGGGGGTTGGGGACCGCTGCCTTAAAGGCTGGTCCATTAAAATATTGTCGGGCATAAACCGGTCCGTGGCGCAAAAAAGGTTGGGGACCGCTGTCCCACTCCATTACTTCTGTACTTCTTTTTGCTGCAATGACCCATCCTTATGTGTACTGAGTCATGTACTAAATTTGCTTGTGCAGTACCAATTCAAAATATAACAAAACAGCAGAAAGCAATACAACTATCCTACTAATTTAAGTTTTTATTATATATTTTTGCATTTAAGTGATTTTAATTGCTGTAAAAAAATTAACTTCCCAAACGTGGGATAAATAAAGTACATCTAATCTCACTTTAGTGACACTCCAAATTGAATTTTCCTTCACATCTGCTGTTGCATTTAAATAATAAACTAAACGGTTAAATGCAGAGATTTGTTTTTATTAAGAGGCAGGATGAGACTGTTGGGATTATTTGTCTACTGCAGGTATTCCAGGTACAAAGGGAGGCACTCTTTAACAAGAGTGAGCGGCAGGTCGCAGAGTCGCAGCTCGCCACCGTTCAAAAACAACTTGCTGAACTACAAGCCCAGTCGACCCATATCCAGGAACTCCACAAAGACATCCAGGAATCGCAGAGCCTCGTGAAAGAGAAGGACCGCAAGGTGAGAAGCTAGCTGTTCATGAAGTTCACGGCTGCTCTTGAAGAACAAGGTTGTGAAAAGTGATGTGTTCAATGTGTGTGCAGATAACAGAGCTGTCAAAGGAGGTGTTCCGACTGAAAGAGGCCCTGGGTGCTCTCTCGCCTCCTCTCGGAATCACCTCTTCCTCCTCATCAACCCATCACGGTAACCCTGGACAGCAAATGGCTCTGCAGAATAGGATCGCCATCCTCACTCAACAGCTCCAGGTGATCTATTAGACTCAACGTGAAAATGTACTCATAAGTCTGGACGAATAAAAAGGTTTTGATTGGTTTTTCCTTCTAAAAGTTTGGATAGATATAATTGATCTGAGGCCAGCAGGGAGCTTATTCAAATGAACACAACCACAATAACTGAAGTCAGCTTTTAGTGCACTTGGATCTAATTCTGGGAACAGTTAAAAGATCTACACTTGATGACTGGAAAGGCCTGACTGGGTTGTAGACAGATTTGTACTGTAATATGATAATAATGTCTTTTTTTGCAGGATTGGGAGAGAAAGCACAAACAAGTGGTGACTGTATACCGCTCACACTTACTGGCAGCTGTGCAGGTCAGTTCAGTGCACTCATATGCACAACAATTAGGACTGAAATGGAAATTTGTTGAGGATTTGTTTGCGTGTGTGTCTACTTTGGATCACACAACAGCAGTCTTTGTATAATTACATCACGTGCGTACACATTGTTGACCCTGTTGTTCAGACTTTTTAACCCTCAGCTGTAAAAGACAGAGTACTGTAGTCATCCTGCCAGGCAGGCAACGTTAACACACACGTTTATGAGTGTGATAACTCCAGAATGATGCAACATAGGAGTTTCAAACTGATACAAAGGTGTATCTACTATAAATCTCGGACAAATTTAGATCTCAGTGACCTTGACCTCAAGGTCGATGTCAAATTGATACCAAAGGTATATGTAATAGGAGCCTGAGGGGTACCACTGGCTGCCGCCTGTATTTTTCAGTTGATTTATCTAGATCACAGTGATTTTTAGTGTTCAGTTCATCTGTCTTAAATGATAAAAAATAAATATAATTTAAGACAGATGAATAAATAAATAAATAGATAAAAATGTGTCTGTCATCTTTCTGAGCAAAGCATAATTTCAGACGAGGTTTTAAAGAAAAGGAACTCAAATTTCTATTTTTTTCCCAGTAGCTTC